TCCTGGGTTCAAGAGATTCTCCTGCCTCAGCCTCCCAAGGAGCTGGGATTACATGTACCTGCCAGCACACCCTGCTGATTTTTCATATTTTTAGTAGAGACAAGGTTTCACCATGTTGGCCAGGCTGGTCTCAAACTCTTGGGCTCAAGTGATCTGCCCACCTTGGCCTCCCAAAGTGCTAGGATTACAGGCACGAGCCACTGCGCCCAGCAAAAAGAAACAATTCTATCAGTGCATCTCCAAGGACTTATGAATCCAGGGCAGGCACAGCTGCTCCTGGATCCTTGGGTTCCCCAGATGGAAGCAGAGAAGCAGCAGCCTTGCCTTGTCCCTTCAGTTCATTTTTCAAGCAACACTTTGCTCGAAATGAGAAGTACATTATTGTAAAATTCTCGTCTTCATATGACCCCATAACCAGCTGAATTGGGTTCCCCCCAAGATGTCCACATATCCCGGCCAAATTTCACATCACTATTTACAAATTGCCAGAATACATTATAAATTACTATATTGCTGGAATCAGACTGAACAACGGGATACAGCCTGACTGGGACATAAATGAAGCCACAGGCACCAGAAAGAAAGCCGGGTCTTGTGTGATAAAATTCATCTTCATTCTCTCTCTCTCTCTCTCTTTTTTTTTTGGATACAGCATCTTGCTCTGTTGCCCAGGCTAGACTGCAATGGTGTAATCTTGGCTCACTGCAACCTCCGCCTCCCAGGTTCAAGTGATTCTCCTTCTTCAGCCTCCCGAGTAGCTGGGATTGCAGGCGCCCACCACAAAGTCCAGGTAACTTTTTGTATTTTTAGTAGAGACAGGGTTTCACCATGTTAGCCAGGCTGGTCTTGAACTTCTGACCTCAGGTGATCTGCCCATCTTGGCCTCCCAAAGTGCTGGGGTTGTAGGCATGAGCCACTACACCTGCTTAAAGTCATCTTCATGATCTACATAGCAGTTGAATATAGGGTCCTTTTCTTGTGTGTTTGAGGTATATAAATACAGGATGGGGACGTTATACCTGTGCTTAAAGATATTGAAACAAGGTCTCACCCTGTCACCCAGGCTGGAGTGCAGTGGTGCAATCACAGCTCACTGAAAGCCTCAAACTCCTGGGCTCAAATGATCTTCCTGCCTCAGCCTCCCAAGCAGCTGGGACTACAGGCCCACACCAGCATGCCTGGCCAATTTTTGTGTTTTTTGTAGAGATGGGATCTTACCAGGTTGCCCAGGCTGGTCTTGAACCCCTGGGCTCAAGTGATCCTCCTGCCTCATCTTCCCACAGTCCTGGGATTACAGACATGAGCCATTGTGCCCAGCCGAGATATTTTATTCTGTTTAGGATTGTGATGATACAAATTTGAACTCAAAAACTACATTTAAAGAAATTATGTAATACCCACTGGGATGGCTATCATTTAAAAAAAAGAAAAGGAAGTGTTGACAAGGATGTGGAGATATTGGAACCCACATATATTACTGGAAGGAATGACTATAACATGATACAGCCACAATGGAAGACGATTTGGCAGTTCCTCAAAAAGTTGAACATAATAGTCACCATATGTCCTAGCAATTCCACTTCTAGGTACATACCCAAGATAATTTAAAGCGGGGAGGCAAACAGATACTCCTGCCAGTGTTCAAGCACCATTACTCACTGTAGCCAAGAGGTACAGAGAACACAAATGTCCATCAAAAAAAGAATGGGGCCAGGTGCGGTAGCACGCCTGTAATCTCAGCACTTTGGGAGGCTGAGGCAGGTGGATCACCTGCGGTCAAGAGTTCAAGACCAGCCTGGCCAACATGGGGAAACCCCGTCTCTACTAAAAATTAGCCAGGCATGGTGGCGCATGCCTGTACTTCCAGCTACTCAGGAGGCTGAGGCAGGAGAACAGCCTGAATCTGGGAGGAAGAGGTTGCAGTGGGCCGAGATCGTGCCACTGCACTGCAGCCTGAGCCACAGAGCAAGACTTCATCTCAAAAAAGAAAAAAAAAAAAAAAAAGGAATGAATAAGCAAATGTGGAATGTGGTCTATCCATACAATGAGATGCTTTTCACCATGACAGGAAATGAAACATTGATACATGCTACAGTACAGATAAACTTTGAAAGCATTATGCTATGCTGTCGCTCGTAAGTGGATATTGAACAATGAGAACACATGGACACAGGGAGGGGAACATTACACACTGGGGCCTGTTGGGGTTGGGGGGATTAGGGGAGGAATAGCAGAGGGTTAGGGAATGGGGAGAGATAATATTAGGAGAAATACCTAATGTAGGTGACGAGGGGACAGAGGCAGGAAACCACCGTGGCATGTGTATACCTATGTAACAATCTTGCACAATCTCCACATGTACCCCAGAACTTAAAGTATAATTTTAAAAAAAGAAAAGAAAACATCATCCTAAAGCAAAAAGAGCTAGTCAGAAAGAATCATGTAGTGAATGAATCCACTTACACAAAATGTCCAGAATAGATGAAACCATAGACACAAAGAAGCATATTAATGGTTGGCAGGGTCTGGCGGGAGAGTGGGAAATGGGGAGTGACTGCTTCTCAGTGGGTACAAGATTTCATTTTAGGGTGATGAGGATGTTCTGGAATTATGTGGTGGTGATGGTTATACTACCTCGTGAATATCCGAATGCTAGTGAATTGTACACTTTACAAGGGTGAATTTTTGGAATGTGAATTATATATCCATAAAAAAAGAAAGAAAACAAAAGATACAAGAGCTCAAAATAGAAAAACTTCTCTTTCTCCTCCCTCTTACACCTCACTAGATCTCCCTCCTTATTTCTGATAATTCCATGTTTCTCTCTTCTGTTAGACTTCGTGTCTTTCTTAGAAAATGTTCCTGGCATGAATTGTGTTCATAGTGCTAGGTAGTAGTCACTTTCCAAACCTACTATCATGGAATAAAAACGTTTCAAGTAGTTTGGAGGATACCTTTTTAAAACCCAATTATACCAGCACAGACTGCTAACAGCAACCTTCAGCAACTTCGGCTCTTTGGAGTAGGTTGTAGGAACATTATGACTTGCTGAAAGGAAGGATGATTAAGCATCTAGATGGCAATTTATATTCTGCATTTGGCCCTTAAAGTCTGGATGAGCTCCTGTTTCAGCCGAATACTGCCGAAATCCTTAACTTAAAAAAATTTTTTTTTTTTTAGAGACAATCTCACTCTGTTGCCCAGGCTGGAGGGCAGTGGTGCCATCTCAGCTCACTGCAACCTCCACCTCCCAGATTCAAATTCTCCTGCCTCAGCCTCCTGAGTAGCTGGGATTACAGTAATGGCTAAATTTTGAATGTTTAGTAGAGATGGGGTTTCACCATGTTGACCAGGCTCGTCTCAAACTCCTGACCTCAAGTGATCCGCCCGCCTTGGCCTCCAAAAGTGCTGGGATTACACGCGTGAGCCACTGCGCCCGGCCCAAAAGCTCTAATTTTTATGACAACCTCTGAGGACAGAGTCTTAGTCAATTGTTTTGTTTTGAGACAGAGTCTCATATTGTCAGCTGGGCTGGAGTGCAGTGGTGTACTCTCAGGTCATTGCAACCTCCAGCTCCCGGGTTCAAGTGATTCTCCTGCCTTACCCTCTTGAGTAGTTGGGATTACAGGTGCCTGCCACCACGTTCAGCTAATTTTTTGTATTTTTAGTAAAGACAGGGTTTCACTATGTTGGCCAGACTGGTCTCGAACTCTTGACCTCGTGATCAGCCTGCCTCAGCCTCCCAAAGTGCTGGTATTACAGGCATGAGCCACCACGCCTGGCTAGTCAATTGTTAATGAATAAGCAACATCAGGAAAAATGCATTCAATATTCACCCTATTTTTGAGAATTTTAGAATTATAACAAACTCTTGATTACACAAATTCCCCAAGTACCTACACTGTGTAGGTCCTTGTCCTACTCCCCAAACAAGTCACACAAAAATTCATCCCCATTATTCCCCAATCCCCACCCTAGCTTTTCATCATGTAATATGGCAGATGATGCACTCTGTGGTGTTTTACACACCAGCTTCTTCAGCACCTGGAAGCACTTTAGAAGTTACCTCCCCAGGCCGGGTGCGGTGGCTCACGCCTGTAATCCAAGCACTTTGGGAGGTCGAGGCGGGTGGATCACGAGGTCAAGAGATTGAGACCATCCTGGTCAACATGGTGAAACCCCGTCTCTACTAAAAATACAAAAAATTAGCTGGGCATGGTGGCACGCGCCTGTAATCCCAGCTACTCAGGAGGCTGAGGCAGGAGAATTGCCTGAACCCAGGAGGCGGAGGTTGCAGTGAGCCGAGATCGCGCCATTGCACTCCAGCCTGGGTAACAAGAGCAAAACTCCATCTCAAAACAAAACAAAACAAAAAACAAAAAAAAGAAGTTACCTCCCCAACCCCCCAAAACACAGCAGTTTCCCCAATAACATTGAGAAAGTGGGCATTAAAGTTCTTCTTGTGGGCCGGGTGCAGTGGCTTGCGCCCATAATCCCAACGCTTTTAGAGGCTGAGGTGGGGGAATTGGTTGAGGTCAGGAGATTGATACCAGCCTGGCCAACATGGTGAAACCCTGTCTCTACTAAAAAAAAAAAAAAAAAAAAAAATCCAGGTGTAGTGGCTCATGCCTGTAATTCCAGCCTTCAAGAGGATTCCCAAATCACCAGAGGTTGGGATTCAAGACCACCCTGAGCAACATGGAGAAACCCCATCTCTATTAAAAATACAAAATTAACCAGGCAGGGTGGTGCATGCCTGTAATCCCAGCTACTTGGGAGGCTGAGGCAGGAGAATCGCTTGAACCCAGAACACAGAAGGCGGAGGTTGTAGTGAGATCATGCCACTTCACTCCAGCCTGGGTGACAGAGCGAGACTCTGTCTCAAAAAATAAATAAAATAAAATAAAAATAAAGTCCTCGTGTGCACTTTAAGGAAAGGCGATCCCTGTATTATGAAGCAGATCTAATCGGGAAAAACAACTCCTTTCTAATCATCTTACCTGTTTTCATCGAGGGAGCTTCAAGTTCATCGTGTTTATCTGGAAAACGGAAGGGAAGACAAGGAATGAAGCTAATCATATGGGACCATTGTGGGCAGGCGTCCTCACGTCCTCCTTACTGACTTCCTGCCCTGTTTGGGAAGCAGAAAAGAGTTTCTCCATTCCCTAGATGCTCCCTGGGTCCTCAGACCGGGGACAGAGCCTCAGATTAACTCTTCCTAATACTCCTGGAGTTTGATAGTTTTTTCTGAGATGGAGTTTTGCTCTTGTTGCCCAGCTGGAGTGCAATGGTTCGATCTCAGCTCACTGCAACTCCACCTCCCAGGTTCAATCAGTTCTCTCGCCTCAGCCTCCCGACTAGCTGGGATTACAGGTATGTGTCACCAAGCCTGGCTAATTTTGTATTTTTTTTTTTTTTTGAGACGAAATTTCGCTCTTGTTACCCAGGCTGGAGTGCAATGGCGCGATCTCGGCTCACCGCAATCTCCGCCTCCTGGGTTCAGGCAATTCTCCTGCCTCAGCCTCCCAAGTAGCTGGGACTACAGGCGTGCACCACCACGCCAAGCTAATTTTTTGTATTTTTAGTAGAGATGGGGTTTCACCATGTTGACCAGGATGGTCTTGATCTTTTGACCTCGTGATCCACCTGCCTCGGCCTCCCAAAGTGCTGGGATTACAGGTGTTAGCCACTGCGACCAGCTTTAATTTTGTATTTTTTAAGTAGAGATAGGGTTTCACCATGTTGGCCAGGCTGGTATCAAACTCCTGACCTCAGGTGATCCACCTGCCTCAGCTTCCCAAAGTGCTGGGATTACAGGTGTGAGCCACCATGCCCAGTCAATAGTATTTTTAATAACAAAAATATTTATGTATGACCCTGCTAATGCCCCCCCTCCAGTTTGATTGCCTATTAGTCTTCTCTGTCTTGACAAAGAATACCACCATTCACCCAAATTCTTATTTTTTTTTAATATCTTTTTTGTTTTTTTTTAGGACAGTCTCACACTGTCACCCAGGCTGGAGTGCAGTGGCACGATCTTGGCTCACTGCAACTTCCAACTTCTGGGGTTCAAGCAGTTCTCCTAATTCAGCCTCCCAAGTAGCTGGGATTACAGGTAAGTGCCACCAGACCCTGCTAATTTTTATTTTTCCTTGAAACAAAGTCATGCTCTTGTCTCCCAAGCTGGAGTGCATTGTCCCGATCTTGACTCACTGCAACCTCCGCCTCCTGGGTTTAAGCAATTATCCTGCCTTAGCCTCTCAAGTAGCTGGGATTACAGGTACCTGCCACCACACCCAGATAATTTTTGTATTTTTAGTAGAGACGGGTTTCACCATGTTGGCCAGGCTAGTCTTGAACTCCTGACCTTGGGTGATCTGCCCGCTTCAACCTCCCAAAGTACTGGGATGACAGGCGTGAGCCACCATACCCAGCCTACTCTGCTAATTTTTGTATTTTTAGTAGAGACAGAGTTTCACCATGTTGGCCAGGCTGGTCTTAAACTTCAGGCCTCAAGTGATCAACCTGCCTTGGTTTCCCAAAGTGCTGGGATTACAGGCATGAGCCAATGCACCTGGCCTGTATTTCTGTCTCACCAGTGGCACCACTTGGTCTGATTTAAAATATCACCTACTCACCAGCCCCTGGCAACCACCAGTATACTCTCGGCTTCTTTTTTTTTTTTTTTTTTTTGAGAGGGAGTTTTGCTCTTGTTACCCAGGCTGGAGTGCAATGGCGCCATGTCGGCTCACCGCAACCTCCGCCTCCTGGGTTCAGGCAATTCTCCTGCCTCAGCCTCCTGAGTAGCTGGGATTACAGGCACGCGCCACTATGCCCAGCTAATTTTTTGTATTTTTAGTAGAGACGGGGTTTCACCATGTTGACCAGGATGGTCTCGATCTCTTGACCTCGTGATCCACCCGCCTCAGCCTCCCAAAGTGCTGGGATTACAGGTGTGAGCCACCGCGCCCGGCCTTTTTTATTTTTATTTATTTATTTTTTTGGGACAGGCTCTCATTCTATCAGCCAGGCTGGAGTGCAGTGGTGCAATCTCAGCTCACTGCAGCCTCTGCCTCCCAGGTCTAAGTAATTATTTTGCCTCAGCCTCCCAAGTAGCTGAAAGCGCAGGTTCACACCCCGACACCCAGGTAATTATTGTATTTTTGTAGAGATGGGGTTTCACTCCATCTGATCTCAAACTCCTGACCTCAGGTGATCCGCCCTCCTCGGCCTCCCAAAGTGGATGGGTGGAGGCCAAAGTGGATGGATCCACCCACCCATCCAACTTTCCACCCACCCTTCCATCCATCCATTCATTCACCCTTTCATCCATCCATGCACCCTCCCACCCATCCATCCATCCATCCATCCATGCACCCTCCCACCCATCCATCCATCCATCCATCCATCCATCCATCCATTCACCCTCCCACCCATCCATCCATCCATTCACCCTCCCACCCATCCATCCATCCATCCATTCACCCTCCCACCCTTCCATCCATCCATTCATTTACCCTTTCATCCATCCATCCATTCACCCTCCCACCCATCCATCCATCCATTCACCCTCCCACCCATCCATCCATCCATCCATCCATTCACCCTCCCACCCATCCATCCATCCATTCACCCTCCCGCCCATCCATCCATCCATTCATTCCTAGGATGAGTTAAGATTACAGGCATGAGCCACCTTGCCCGGCCAACTCTAATCCTGTTCTCCCCCACAAAATACAGTAAAAGCTCTGGCCCACAGTCTTCCTCCTCCCTCTGCCTCCCGACTGACCCTGGTACTTCCCCCCATACCCTCCCACAGTATAGCCCGCCCCTCCTCTTGGGAACTGTAACAGACCATCTTTTCCATGGCCATCATCCCTTGGTCTGTCAGTCTGACTGTAACCCCATTTTCTTTCTTTCTTTCTTTCTTTCTTTCTTTCTTTCTTTCTTTCTTTCTTTCTTTCTTTCTTTCTTTCTTTCTTTTCCTTCCTTCCTTCCTTCCTTCCTTCCTTCCTTCCTTCCTTCCTTTCTTTCTTTCTTTCTTTCTTTCTTTCTTTCTTTCAACTTTCTTCTTTCTTTTTTTTTTTTTGACACAGTCTTGCTGTGTCGCCCAGGCTGGAGTGCAGTGGTGCGATCTCAATGGAGGCAACCTCCGCCTCCAGGGTTCAAGCGATTCTCCTGCCTCAGCCTCCTGAATAGCGTGGACTACAGGCATGTGCCACTACACCCGGCTAATTTTTCGTATTTTTAGTAGAGGTGGAGTTTCACCATGTTGGCCAGGATGCTCTCGATCTCCTGACCTCGTGATCCACCCGCTGTGGCCTCCCACAGTGCTGGAATTACAGACATGAGCCACCACACCCAGCCCTGTACCCCCATTTTCTATTGACCGTATTCTACACCACTCTGCAGCATCCACATCATTGGGACCCTCTCACAATCCCTGATGGGAATCTTGCCCCACATTCCGTTCCCATTTCCACATTTAAGATGTCGCATGTTTTTGTCTCCTGGGTTCCTTCCTTCCCAGTCACATCCCCCAACAGAAAAAAAAAAAAAACTCACATCAGGCAGGCCTCGGTGACTCAAGTCTGTAATCCCAGCACTTTGAGAGGCCAAAGCAGAAGGATAACCTGAGCTCAGGAGTTCAAGACCAGCCTGGGCAATATAGAGAGATCCTGTCTCAAAAATGAACAAGGATATCCAGGACTTGAACTCAGACCCGGAACAAGTAAACTTAATAAACATTTATAGAAGTCTCCACCCCAAATACACAAAACATACATTCTTATCAGTACCACATCACACCTACTCTAAAAGTGACTACATAATTGGAAGTAAATCACTCCTCAGCAATTGCTTAGCATTTCACAGGTTTAAATGAAATATTGGTTCCCTGCTTGCTTGTTATTTTTCTCCCTTATTCCTTCCTGTCTCCATTGTTAAGCACAGTTATTGGCATAAAAGAGGTTTTCAGGCTGGGCGCGGTGGCTCACGCCTATAATCCCAGCACTTTGGGAGGACGAGGCGGGTGGATCACAAGGTCAAGGGATCGAGACCATCCTGGTCAACATGGTGAAACCCCGTCTCTATTAAAAATACAGAAAATTAGCTGGGCATGTTGGTGCGTGCCTGTAATCCCAGCTACTCGGGAGGCTGAGGCAGGAGAATTGCCTGAACCCAGAAGGCGGAGATTGCAGTGAGCTGAGATCGTGCCATTGCACTCCAGCCTGGGTAACAAGAGAGAAACTCCGTCTCAAAAAAAAAAAAAAAAAAAGATTTTCAACACCCATTTTTAGGCTGCATTCTAGCCTGGGCAATAAAGCAAGGCTCCCTTTCTCTCTCCCTCTTTCTCTTCCTCTTTCTTTTCCTCTTTCATTCTATTTTTAAATTTTTTTCTTTCTTTCTCTCTTTCTTTTTTTTTCTTTTTTTCTCTCTTTTTTCCAAAAAAAAGAGATCCTGTCTCAACAAATAATTTAAAAACTAGCCATGCAGGGTGGTGCTTGCCTGGCAGCTACTTGGGAGGCTGACACAGGAGGACTGCTTGAGCCTGGGAGGTTGAGACTGCAGTGAGTTGTGTTCATGCCACTGCACCCCAGCCTGGGTGACAGAGCAAAAAAACAAAAGCAGCCAGGCACAGTGGCTCACTCCTGTAATTCCCGCAATTTGGGAGGCTGAGGCAGGCAAATCAGGTGAGGTCAGGAGTTCAAAATCAGCCTCGCTAACATGGTGAAACCCTACTAAAATACAAAAATTAGCTGGGTGTGGTGGCACAGCCCTGTAGTCCCAGCTACTCGGGAGGCTGAGGTAGAAGTGCTTGAACTCAGGAGGTGGAGGTTTCAGTAAGCTGAGATTGTGTCACTGCACTCCAGCTTGGGAGACAGAGCAAGACAACCACTCAAAAAAAAAAAAAAAAAATGGTTTGGAGAGGTGGCTCACACGTGTTAATCCCGCCCTTTGGGAGCCTGTGGTGAGTGGATCACCTGAGGTCAGGAGTTTGAGATCAGCCTCACCAGTATGGTGAAACCTCATCTCTATTGAAAAACAAAAATTGGGCCAGGCGAGGTGGCTCACACCTGTAATCCAGCACTTTGGGAGGCCAAGGCGGATGGATCACAAGGTCAAGAGATCGAGACCATCCTAGTCAACATGGTGAAACCCTGTCTGTAGTAAAAATACAAAAATTAGCTGGGCATGGTGGCGCACGCCTGTAATCCCAGCTACTCGGGAGGCTGAGGCAGGAGAATTGCCTGAACCCAGGAGGCGGAGGTTGCGGTGAGCCGAGATCGCGCCATTGCACTCCAGCCTGGGTAACAAGAGCGAAACTCCATCTCAAAAAAAAAAAAAGAAAAGAAAATACAAAAACTAGCCGGGTGTGGTGGGCACTTGAAATCCCGGCTACTCAGGAGGCTGAGGTAGGAGAATGGCTTGAATGCAGGAGGCAGAGGTTGCAGTGGGCCAACTGCACTCCAGCCTGGGCGACAGAGCGAGACTCTATCTCAAAAAAAAAAAAAAAAAAGCAAAGCCAAACCAAAGACGTGTGTATCAAGAGCGCCTCTGAGACGGCCCTTCTCACCTGTGACCACCAGCTGCACGTGCTCACTGCTTTCTGACCACTGGTGGGAGACTGCTGTCTTGTAGGCACAAAAGTACCTCCCAGCATCCTTGGGCTTCAAGTGCATGAAGGGGAATTCCGCTTCGCTTCCTGCCGAGCTCTGTTCGCGCTGGAATGCAGAGTCGTTCACCTTGCGCAGCGTGAATGTCACATTCTGGGAAGGAGCCCGACACTTCAGGGTCACGTTGCTCTTGGCTTCAGCCACCGAGCTGGGCCAGGCATGGAGGGAGGGCTTGGACAGTTTCTCTGGAAAGAATTCAGAGTTAATTCGAGTCTGCATGTGGATGGCCTGGAATTCAGAGGATTCAAGAAAAAGGTCATGAAATGTGGGGTGCAGGAATAAAGTGTAAGTGGGAGAAAACTCACCGTTCTCTTTGTCATCCTCATAGCCCAGACACAGCCCTGGAAGAGAAATGTCAATGAGAAGAATTACGCACTTGTCTTCGAGTACAAATCCAGCAGAGAAATCATGACCAGCTCGTTACAGGTCTGATATGTATATAATAATGCATGTATTTTATAAATGTACATACATATATATGCAGATATAATATAGATATACATAAATGCATATATGTGAATTATATATTATATATTTATATTATGTAATATATTAAATGTAGACATATTTTACACATATATATATATTTTTTATTTTTTTTTTATTTTTTGAAACGGAGTTTCGCTCTTGTTACCCAGGCTGGAGTGCAATGGCGAGATCTCAGCTCACCGCAACCTCCGCCTCCTGGGTTCAGGCAATTCTCCTGCCTCCGCCTCCCAAGTAGCTGAGATTACAGGCGCGCACGCCACCATGCCCAGCTAATTTTTGTATTTTTAGTAGAGACGGGGTTTCACCATGTTGACCAGGATGGTCTCGATCTCTTGACCTCGTGATCCACCCGCCTCAGCCTCCCAAAGTGCTGGGATTACAGGCTTGAGCCACTGCGCCCAGCCTATTTTTGTATTTTTAGTAGAGATGGGGTTTCACCATGTCGGCCAGGCTGGTCTCAAACTCCTGACCTCAAAAGGTCTGCCCCCCTCGACCTCCCAAAGTCCTGAGATTACAGGCATGAGCCACTGCACCCAGCTGATTTGCAATTCTTGAAATGATAACTTCAAGGTGTAACTTCAAATAAGGCCGTGAATATGGCCTTATTTGGAAATGGCATGGTCTGGTCTTTGCAGATGTAATTAGTTAAACTAAGATGAAGTCATACTGGAGTAGGCTGGGCATCTAATCCAATAAAAACTTACAAGAAGAGGCCGGGCTCTGTGGCTCATGCCTATAATCCCAGCACCTTGGGAGGCCGAGGCGGGTGGATCACGAGGTCAAGAGATTGAGACCATCCTGGTCAACAAGGTGAAACCCCATCTCTACTAAAAATACAAAAATTAGCTGGGCATGGTGGCGCACGCCTGTAATCCCAGCTATTCGGGAGGCTGAGGCAGGAGAACTGCTTGAACCCAGAAGACGGAGGTTGCGGTGAGCCGAGATCGCGCCATTGCACTCCAGCCTGGGTAACAAGAGCGAAACTCCGTCTCAAAAAAAAAAAAACTTACAAGAAGAGAAAAAGGAGACAGAGACATGAAGAAGAAAGATAGCCATGCAAAAACAGAGGCAGAGGCCAGGCTGCGATCACTGGGTTTTGGGAGGCTGAGACAGAAGAACTGTTTGAGCCCATGAGTCAGAGACTAGCCTGGGCAATACAGCAAGACCCCATCTCTAAAAAAGAAATTATTTTAATTAGCCCAGCATGGTGGTGTGCACGTAGTTCTAGCTGCCCAGAAGGTTTGGGGGAGGATTGCTTGAGCCCAGGAGGTTGAGGCTGCAGTGAGCTATGGTGGTACCACTGCACTCCAGCCTGGGTGACAGAGTGAGACCCGGTCTCAAAAAAAAAAAAAAGCTAATCTAAGTGCAAATGTGTGTAGGAGAGTAGCATTACCCTGCAGGGAAGGGCTGCACCCAGAAAAGGGGAAGGAACTGAGGCAGTGAAGCATGTTGATGTCTACCACACCCCTCCATGCATCCGCCTTAGGGAGGTGGAACTCTGCTGGGTCAAGCCTAGAGCTCCTATGTAGTGAAGCCAAGACTATAACCCAGATCTTCCTTCTGACAGTCTGAGCTCTGTCTGATTACATCAGGTTCAATCTGAGGATGGTTTAAATCAGCCTAAGTACAGAGCTGGTCAGAAAATTGTCCTCTTGGGGCCGGGTGTGGTGGCTCATGCCTGTAATCCCACCACTTTGGGAGGCAGAGGCAGGCGGATCACCTGAGATCAGGGGTTCGAGACCAGCCTGACCAACATGGTGAAACCCTGTCTCTACTTAAAATACAAAAATTAGGCCGGGCACAGTGGCTCACGCCTGTAATCCCAACACTTTGGGATGCCAAGACAGGCAGATCACCTGAGGTCAGGAGTTCAAGACCAGCCTGGCCAATGTGGAGAAACCCTGTCTCTAATAAAAAATACAAAATTAGTTAGGCATGATGGCGGATGCCTATAATTGCAGCTACTCAGGAGACTGAGACAGGAGAATTGCCTGAACCCAGGAGGCGGAGGTTGCGGTGAGCTGAGATTGCACCATTGCACTCCAGCAGGGGCAACAAGAGCAAAACTCCGTCTCAAAAATAAAAATAAAAATTAGCCAAGCATGGTGGAAGGCACCTGTAATCCCAGTTATTTGGGAACACAAGGCGGTGCTTGCAGCCAGCAGCCCAGCCCCACCCACCACAGGTGTGCAAGCATGGCGTCACTACTTCCACACACCACCTTGAGCCTGGGAGGCAGAGGTTGCAGTGAGCCAAGGTCACACCATTGCACTACAGCCTGGATGACAGAGTGAGAGCCTGTCTCGAAAAAAAAAGAGAGAGAAAGAGAAAGAAAACTGACTTTTTGCCCATAGCCTTGCACCCCGTAGATTCTGAAGCCCAGCCCTCTATGCCAAGGGAGGATGCATGAAAGTGCTGCGGCATTCAGCAGAGACAGGCTGGGAGGTCCCACCGGAGCTCGGCACTGCCCAGCGGAGTAAGCAAGGCTGCCCCTGTGTCTCTGCAGCATGGCCTCCTTGTGGCTTCCATGTGGGCAGCAGAACTCACGCAGGCGGTGCTCGCAGCCCAGCCTCACCCGCCACAGGCGTGGAAGTCATTCCTTCCAAACACGGCCTTTCCACCTGGACTTCCCCTGAGCCCCTGTCCAAGCCCACATGTCCCAGTCTTGGAGACTCACCGAGGCAAAGCACGGAGAGGAATTCTGTGGTCATAGTGACCCTTCTGCCAGAACCAATACCCCACGCTTGGCTTTACCCTTTGGAAGTGGAGCGGGACTGGGGTGGCCGTGGCTCCCTGGCTACCGCTTCGTCCCCAGGCTGTGCAGGTGGAGAGGCTTCGCCCTGACGCTCTGGTTCTCTACCCAGTTTCCTTCTCACAGCCGACTTAGGAAACAAGAAACCGTTGATGACAACATCTTCCCCATGAGTCTGGTGTGTGTGGCCCCACCCACCTGAGCCGAGTCCTGCCTTATCTGAAGTTCTGCCAAGACTTTTCTGTAAATGTAGTTTTTATTTTACAACATTAATACCTATAGCTTTCTGTGTACCCACTAGGCAGCTCCCCACAATGGTGATTTTTTTTTTTTTTGAGACAGAGTCTCAGTCCGTCACCCAGGTTGGAGTGCAGTGGCGCAATCTCAGCTCACTGAAACCTCTGCCTCCCAGGTTCAAGGTTTCTCCTGCCTCACACTCCTGAGTAGCTGGGATTACAAGCATGCACCACCACGCCTAGCTAATTTTTTGTATTTTTAGTAGAAACAGGGTTTCACCATGTGGGCCAGGCTGGTCTTGAACTCCTGGCCTCAAGTGATCCGCCCACCTCAACCTCCCAAAGTGCTGGGATTACAGGCCTGAGCCACTGCACCTGGCCAATGGTAATCTCTTATAACTATAGTACCTTTTCTTTTCTTTCTTTCTTTCTTGCTTTTTTTTTTTGAGTCAGAATCTCTGTTGCCCAGGCACTGGTGTGATCTTGGCTCACTGCTAACTCTGCCTCCTGGGTTCAAGTGACTCTCCTGTGTCAGCCTCCCAAGCAGCTGGGATGACAGGTGCCCACCACTATGCCTAACTAAATTTTTTTGTTCTTTTTAGTAGAAACGAGGTTTTGCCATGTTGCCCAGGCTGGTCTCAAACTCCTGAACTCAGGTGATCTACCCGCTTTGGCCTCCCAAAGTGTTGGGATTACAGGCGTGAGCCACCGCGACCGGTGTATGGTATATTTTCAATACCAGGAGTGAGATTACATCTCAAAAAAAAAAAAAAAAAAGAAAGAAAAGAACCCGGCCAGGCGCAGTGACTAATCCCAGCACTCTGGAAGGCCGAGGCAGATGGATCACCTCAAGTCAAGAGTTTGAGACCAGCGTGGCCAACATGGCAAAACCCCATCTCTACTAAAAATTAGGCTGGGCACAGTGGCTCACACCTGTAATCCCAAAACTTTAGGAGGCCAAGGTGGGTGGATCACGAGGTCAGAAGTTCAAGACCAGCCTGACCAACATGGTGAAACCTCGTCTCTACAAAAAATACAAAAATTAACCAGGCATGGTGGCACGTGCCTGTAATTCCAGCTACTCAGGAGGCTGAGCCAGGAGAATCACTTGAACCTGGAAGGCAGAGGTTGTGGTAAGCCAAGATCCCTGTACTCTAGCCTGAGCGACAGAGCGAGACTTTGCCTCAAAAAAAAAAAAAAAAAACAAATAAATTAGCTGGATGTGGTAGCGAGTGCCTGTAATGCCAGCTACTTGGGAGGCTGAGACAGGAAAATCCCTTGAACCTGGGAGGTGATTGCAGTGAGCCGAGATGGTACCACTACACTCCAGCCTGGGTGACAGGGAGTCTCTGCCTCAAAAAAAAAGAAAAGAAAAGAAAAGAAAAGAGGGCTGGGCGCAGTGGCTCACGCCTGTAATCCCAGCACTTTGGGAGGACAAGGCGGGTGGATCACAAGGTAAGAGATCGAGACCATCCTGGTCAACATGGTGAAACCCCGTCTCTACTAAAAATACAAAAAATTAGCTGGGCATGGTGGCGTGTGCCTGTAATCCCAGCTACTCGGGAGGCTGAGGCAGGAGAATTGCCTGAACCCAGGAGGCGGAGGTTGGGGTGAGCCGAGATTGCACCATTGCACTCCAGCCTGGGTAACAAGAGCGAAACTCCGTCTCAAAAAATAAAAAGAAAGAAGAAAAAAAGAAAAGAAATGAAATGAAACAACCCAATTATAAATGGACAAAGTATTGAATCAGTAATTTATCAGGAATATAAACATATATTAGATTTAATATTACATATATACAGCAATTAGCATGTGAGAAAAGACGCTCAACAACATATGCTCTCAGGAAAATGTAACGTGAAGCCACGCTGATCAAGGGAACAGCACAGAACAAGAATCGCAGAAACAGGTCCCTACATACATGGGCTTTGGTTTATGAGCGGGGGCATGCCGTATCAATAGAGAAAACATAGATTGTATTTTTTTTAGGAGACGACGTCTCGCTGCGCTGCCCAGGCTGGAGTGCAGTGGCTATTCACAGGCGCGATCCCACTACTGACCAGCATGCACTGACCCTCAGAGCGTATCCCTCCTTCTCAAACAGTCCCGCCAAATCTCTCTCGCATCAGCCACTTCATGTCTTCTAGCCAGCAGTCCACTGTACTTTAAAGTGTTTTTTTTTTTTTTTTTTTGAGACGGAGTTTCGCTCTTGTTACCCAGGCTGGAGTGCAATGGCGCGATCTCGGCTCACCGCAACCTCTGCCTCCTGGGTTCAGGCAATTCTCCTGCCTCAGCCTCCCGAGTAGCTGGGATTACAGGCACGTGCCACCATGCCCAGCTAAGTTTTTGTATTTTTAGTAGAGATGGGGTTTCACCATGTTGACCAGGATGGTCTCGATCTCTTGACCTCGTGATCCACCCGCCTCGGCCTCCCAAAGTGCTGGGATTATTGGCGTGAGCCACCGCGCCCGGCCGAACTTTAAAGTTTTAATCCCTGAAAACAAGAGACGGAATCTTTTGTTGTTGTTGTTGTTGAGATGGAGTCTCCCTCTGTTGCCCAGGCTGGAGTGCAGTGGCACAATCCTGGCTCACTGCAACCTCCACCTCCCAGGTTCAAGCAATGCTCCTGCCTCAGCCTCCTAAGTGGCTGAGATTACAAATGCCCGCCAGCATGCCTGGCTGATTTTTGTACTTTTAGTAGAGATGACTTTTCACCATGTTGGCCACACTAATCTCGAACTTCTGGCCTCAGGTGACCCAGCAGCCTCGGCCTCCCAAAGTGCTGTGATTACGGGCATGAGCCACCGCACCTGGCCAAAATATGGAATCTTAATGAGTTGTAGTGGGAGTTCCTTTTCTTTTTATTTGTCTGAGACAGAGTCTTGCTCTGTCACCCAGGCTGGAGTGCAGTGGCGTGATCTCAGTTCACTGCAACCTCTGCCTCCCAGGTTCAAGTGATTCCCCTGCCTCAGCTTCCCGAGTAGCTGGAACTACAGGTACACACCACCACGCCTGGCTAGTTTTGTGTGTGTGTGTGTGTGTATTTTTAGTAGAGGCGGGGTTTTACCATATTGGCCAGGCTGGTCTTGAACTCCTGACCTCATGATCTGCCCGCCTCGGCCTCCCAAAGTGCTGGGATTATAGGTGTGAGCCACTGTGCCTGGCTTGGGAGTTCCTGTATCTTCCTTCCTTGATATTCTCTCCACCTTAGCTGTCTTCCTTCATTTATTTGCTCTTTGTCCTATTCGCACCTTCCCACACTCCCTTTTTTTCCTTCCCCATCCTTATATCAATGAATAGTCTCAGGAGCAGCACATGAGAGGGAAAGAGCTCCACAGGGCCCCGAATTCCGTGGCTGGGTCAGCATCCTCACAGCACACACTGCTGTGCAGGCAGAGCACTTGAGAAAGTTTGAGGTGAGGCCGGGCACAGTGGCCCGCGCCCGTAACCCCAGCACTGTGAGAGGCCGAGGCGGGAGGATTGCTTGAGGCTGGGAGCTCGAGACCAGCCTGGGCAACATGGTGAAAACCCATCTCTACTAAAAGTACAAAAAAAAAAAAACAAAAATTAACTGGGAGTAGTGGAGGGTGCGTGTAATCCCAGCTACTTGGGAGGCTGAGACAGGAGAATCGCTTGACCCAGGCCTGGGGGGATGGGGGCAGGGGCTGCAGTGAGCCCGGATCGTGCCACTGCACTCCAGCTTGGGCATCACAGTGAGACTCCATCTCAAAGAAAAGCAAACAAAACCCTAACCTCCAGATTTTCAGGGAGGCTGGTTGGAGTAATAATGAAACTCTGGTCTCCCACCTACCTGGCTCAGTGTGTATTAAACTCTTTCTTGCAATTTCTTTGTCTTGATGAATGGGCTTCATCTGGGCAGCCACCAAGAGGAACCCGTTATGACAGTTACATCAGCATGAAAAATAATTTATAGAGCTGAGGAAGCAGAGTGCTAGCATCCAGTAAGGCAGAACTCTTGCAGGAAACAAGATACTGTCGGAAGAATTATAGCAGTCAGTGCTGAAAGACGTGAGTAGACATCACATCCGTGGCACAGAAGCAGGAGGCTGTGCAAACGCCATGTTCTGAGGATGAGAGAATTGTTTTTTAAATTTGAAACTGGGTCTCACTGTGTTGCCCAGGCTGGTCTCAAACTCCTGGGCTCAAGCGATCCTCCAGCCTCAGCCTCCCAAACTGCTGGGATTACAGGCCTGAGCCACCGTGCCTGACTGGGAAAGAATTATTGAGAGTGAAATCACTAACTCCAAGAAAAAACAAAACCCACCAGGTTCGGCGGTTCACATGTACAATGCCAGCACTTTGGGAGGCTGAGGTGGGCAGATCACTTGAGGCCAGGGGTTCGAGATCAGCCTGGTCAACATGGTGAGAACCCCGTCTCTACTAAAAATACAAAAATTAGCCAGGCGTGGTGGGCGCCTGTAGTCCCAGCTAATCAGGTGGCTGCGGCAGGGAATCCCTCGAACTCAGGAGGCAGAGGTTGCAGTGAGCCGAGATTGCACCACTGCATTCCAGCCGGGGTGACAGAGAGAGACTCCATCTCACAAAAAACAAAGCTAATAACCAAAACGCTAAGAGATGCAAAGACTGGTAGAAGGAATCTGGTGCTGGTGGATTCATAATTTTTAAGAACAGCCTAGAAATTATCCAAGTATCTAGTACAACAAAAAGGTAAAGGAGGGCAGGACGCAGTGGCTCACGCCTGTAACCCCAGCACTTTGAGGCCAAGGCAGGTTGATCATAAGATCAGGAGTTCGAAACCAGCCTGACCAACATGGTGAAACTCCATCTCTACTAAAATTACAAAAATTAGCCAGGTGTGGTGGCGTGTGCCTGTAGTCCCAGCTACTTGGGAGGCTGAGGCAGGAGAATCAC